TACATGCCCACATGGGAGGTATTGCTTTGGCAATTTGTGGGCAATAAAGTTTTTTCTGTAACACTTTACAATAAGTGGACATTAACACATGCTAAATTACAGTGGGATTCCTATGGAACAACACATTACACTCACATTGATACCAAATGCGTTTATTGTGAGACACATCATTGCAGCAAATATCACAGGAATTAGTGCGGCATCAGAAAATGCCTGCAATTAGACCAGTGTGGTGAGAAGCAGACACCCATTCAGTTGGTGGGCTACTCACATACCAACACTGTCTGGCCTGGCGTGAGGGAAATTTTGGTGCCAAGTGGCTTGCGTAGTCCTCTGAGGACACGACACTTTTATGCTAACGTGCGTGAGAATTTCCTAGAACCTAAGATCCGCAAAATCCCCAAGGACTACCGCTGTGTGAGCTTTTTGATAACAGGCACCTCGCTATGGGAACTGAACTCAAATCTGGTGAGAAATTCCGGGCAGATGTGAATTCAAAATTCTTGGAAGTAAAAATTGTTCAACGGGAACAAGCCGCTTGGGGAGTGTTCCGGAGTGTCCCTCTCTAGGGTGCTGTAAGGACAAGCTTGGCACGCAACGGGCTTCCGTATGATCCCATTCTCCTCCCGCGCCCGAGGACTTGACCTCCGAGAAAGAAGCCAGGGAAGTTCCCAGCGGTTAAGTTGTCTCCTGAGACACGGGGCCTCGTAGCAACCTCTCTGGCTTCAGAACAGTTCCCAATGGAGAGACTCACGCAACTACAAAAAAAGCTCAAATGTGCTCTTGGGGCAGACTCATAAACACACTGAAACATGACCCCAAACATTACCCGTGGCCAGGATGCTGGGAGACATGAGAAAGGAAAGCCCTGTGTTTCCAAACCTCATATTCAGCGAGACAGCGGCCAGCACAGCCCCCTGAACTGGGCCTGTGAGGTGGGCATCCCAGCTCTGCTACCAACTGGTTAGGTGGTTTAACCTTTCTGAGCCTCAATTTTCTTCCATGTAAAATGGATTGATTATATCCTTCACAAGGCTGTTGGTGAGTTTTAAATAAATGATCATTTGTAGAATATACAGCACAGTCCCTGGCACCTAGCAAGGATTTCATGCGCACTAGTATAACCTGTATAACTAATTTAACTAGTATAACCTCATCTTTCATTTCTTCTTCCCTCTCCTTCCTCACCCAGCTGCAGTCTTCATCTTGCCCCAACACATGGGTACTGATACCAAAAGTAAGGTGCTTTCAAAGACTGCACCATGAGCAGAGAAGTCGGTTGAGGGGAGCCAAGCTCAGGTACCATCCCAAATATAAACTATCAGAGAGCTTCTCGCAAATGAAACAGCCATGTCATCCCCTTTGCTGGTCCCCAATTAGAGTGGACCATGGAGTCTACATTTCTTTGTTCCATTTTCTGGTCTTCCTGTGTTTTGCTCTGGCCATGGGTATATTTTGCAACTAGCTATTAACTAGCATGCTTGTATTGAGATATACAATTTGTTGAGCATTTTTTAAAAATATATTTTTATTAATTTCAGAGAGGAAGGGAGAGGGAGTGAGAGACAGAAACATCAATGATGAGAGAGAATTATTGATCGGCTGCCTCCTACACGCCCCCTACTGGGGATTGAGCCCACCTGGGCATATGCCCTGATGGGGAATGGAACCATGACCTCCTGGTTTATAGGTCAACACTCAACCACTGAGCCACACTGGCCAGGTGTTGTACATTTTTGAGCACTTACTGAATATAAGCTCTGTTCCTGGCAAAAGAGCAGATAAAGGATTGAATCAGACAGGGGTTCTTTACACGAGAAATACATAATCCAGGGGATGAGATAACACTGCCTCTGAATAAGTTTGCTCCCTATTTGGGTTCCCAAAGAAGCATTCACTAGTTTATATTTATAAGGTGATTAAAGCAGTGATGTGCTGGCATGTTTACCAACCAGCTCACAATGTTTGGGGAAAGAACAGGGGGAAAATATCTGTATATGTGTGTACATGGGTTTATTATAAATTTTACTGATTTGAAAGATGCATAGCACATAATCCTATATAATAAAAGCCTAATATGCTAAGTGTCCCTTCATCTAGTCGGCCGTTCAACCAATCAAAGCGTAATATGCTAATGATATGCTAAGGCTGCTCAACTGCTTGCTATGATGTGCACTGAGCACTAGGGGGCAGACAGCTGACCGGTCAACCAGTCGCTATGACATGCACTGACCACCAGGGGGCAGATGCTCAACACAGAAGCTGCCCCCTGGGGGTCATTGAGCTCCCACAGGGGGAGCACCACTTAGCCAGAAGCCAGACTCATGGCTGGCGAGCACAGCAGTGGTCACAGGAGCCTCTCCCACCTCTGCAGCAGCACTAGGGATGTCCAACTGCCGGCCATGGGGAGCAGGCCTAAGCCGGCAGTCGGACATCCCCTGAGGGCTCCCGGACTGCGAGAAAGCACAGGCTGGGCTGAGGGATGCCCCCCCCCCAAGTGCATGAATTTTATCCACCGGGCCTCTAGTTTATAAATAAAAATAAGTAAGCAAGTGCATGAATTTCATCCACCGGGCCTCTAGTTTATAAATAAAAATAAGTAAAACTCTTTACTGTAATTCCACATAGAAGTCTTTTGCCAATTTTTTATGAACTCGTATCCATTCTCAGTTTGCAAGTGATGAATGAATGTAGTTCCAACATGAATAGTGGTTGATATTTTCATTTACATTAATGAGTAGGACAAAAGTGAAAAACGAAGACATGTGTCAGAACTATATTCATTCGTCAATGACATGAGTGACTTCTTTGCCGAATCAGATAATGGTTTTCGAATACTGGAAAAATATTTCCTCAAATGTTTGTGTAGTCGCAATGTAGCAGCCATAGACGTGACACACTTTTATGTTTAATCTACATTATTAACATTTTCTCCATCACTTTCTTAAGTCTAGATAATCAACAAAACAATAAATCAAGTGCTGGTTTGCAGCATTTGCTGGTTGCTGTAGTGTAAATATGCCTATCATGGTCAATTTCAAGCTACCAAGATGATGTCACTGAATACGGAATTGGGATAAGACACAGAATAGCCCACCATTGTCTAGTATGTCAACCACACAGAGACAATGGAAATAACCTCAAGAGCATAGATAATAATAAAATACAGTAAAAGAATGAGGAATTGGTGACTTTAAATAATTATCTTTGTTTTGCATAAAATGTATTTAATTGTACCTGTTCCATGAGTTTTCTTCCCAAGTTCCAGTAGGTTCTTGAAGATCTACCCCATCATTTTCAGGGGCCACTTTTCAGCATGTGTTACCTGAGAGCAAAAACAGATTTGGTGTGCTGCATTCCCAGAGAAAGCTTCCTCCCACACCAGCATCTTCTCTCATCTGACCTCCCTGGACACCTCAAGGGTTTCTCAGTGACCCAACCTAGGAAGTGGGTCTATTAATTCCCTGAAGGCAGCATTCTCCTTGGGCCTCTGGAGGGCTTTGTTACTGAGTGGTAGTTTGCTTATATTTTTATTCTAGAATATTTTTCTTCTTTCTCTCCTCTCCTTCCTGTCTCTTCACCTCACAATTCTATTATGTGTCTAATTCTTTTGGAAAGGAAAGAGCAGCGTTAATATCGTTGCCGACTTGGGCCTTTCTCCTAAGCGATTATGTTCTCTGTAACATGGGAGAGCAGAGCTGAAAGAGGTAGAGCCTGGAGGAAGCCTGGAGGGAGGGATGGGGCGAGTCAGCTGCACCACAGCAGATGCCTGGGCCCGAGCCGCACACCATCACCCCCCACCTACCTCACCCCACCCCACCCAAACCTGAGCCATGATTTAAAATGCATATTCCTGAGCCCCACCCCAAACCTGCATTTCTGGGGTTGGAGCTCAGGAGTTTGCTTCTCAACAAACTCCCCCAGCAATTCCCACTCATGCTCAACACGGAACCACTGACTTGGACCCTCTGCATGGAGACCACCTGACTTCGGGTACTTTGTTCTAGTAATTTGGGAGTTTTCATATGGCAGGTGAAGATGGCTTTGATTGGTTCTCAAAGAATCAGGCACCTTCGAGAGTAATGAGAAATGAACAGTATGGAATGATGGAGTAATTCTCTTCATAGGCCAGAATAGCAGGAAAAAGTAAGGGAAGCTAGCCTCAATGACAGGAGAAGGCAGTAATTAACACCCTAACATAAAACGATAATGCAGCTGGCACATATAATGCAATCCCACCGGGAACTGCAGATTGCATCCTAGCATCCCGCTGTCACAAAGCCCACAGGATGCAGCCCACACTGGCCAGGGCAGAGCCTCTTCAACGCTGAATATTCTGCCATGTAGCAGGCACATTTATTTTATTCAAAAGAAGAATGGTCCTGGTGCCAAGCCATCTGATGGTAAAAGGAGATATATTTGACGGATCATAAAAACTGGTCTGCCACAGGCTTCTTATACCACGTTTCTAATGTAAATGCATCTGGTAGGTGCAGCCCGTACCTCCGATGTGCAGATACCTGCAGAGAAAGGCAAGCAGGGACTAGAAGAGCCGTGAGGGGAGAGGCAGGAGTATGGCCGGAGAGAGGGAGACGATTATTTTTAACAATAACAAACAACAACAAAAAACCCACTTGGCAAACATCACTCACTTTTCCCAACCTGTTCCTGTGATACAGATTGACAGCCCTTTTAATATGAAATAAATCAGGCAGGAGAAGGAGTGTCTGGAAGAACAGACAGATTGAGGGCTGAGTGACGGACGCCTCCGGAACACGCTCTGTTTGCATTTGCCTCATAGTTGCTCACTTGAAAGGATGTCAGGCGCTTTGAAGGCTGCGGGGATGTGTTTTGAACCTGGAGGACGAGTGTGCAATATGCATGCTCAAGCTCCTTGTGCCAGTTGGCACGAGTGTAGGGCATAGAGACCCTGCAGATACAAGAGGCCCTTTCCATCTCCCTCCCCCACCTTGGGGTAAAAAGGCATTTTGTCTCGTGCTCGAGCTCCTTGTGCCAGTGGAGCCCTCCTGTTGGCACGAGTGCAGGGCATGCAGACCCTGCAGATACAAGAGGCCCTTTCCACCTCCCTCCCCCACCTTGGGGTAAAAAGGCATTTTGTCTAATATCTGGTCTCATATTTAGCCAGGCCCAGCCAGTCATCTCAAGCCAGTGTGCTCACACTGGCGCATTAGGGCCTGGTCACTTCTCACCAAAAAAACTGGCTGGTAATGAGCCGTGTCACCTTTTGAGGTGTGTGGTCAGTGGACATCCCTGTCAAGTGCACCCCTGCCTTGGTCCAGCCTTCCAGATGCTGAAGTTCCTTTGGTTAGCTGTCTCCTTGAATGTCCTGGACTGTCCAGTGTTCATGGGTATTCTGCAAAGCAAATACCAGTACACATTAGTCATGAGACAACCAAAGTCGGTTTCAACATCTCCCATGGCACAGGAGGAAGTATTTCTGCTCTAAGGCAAGAAAATGCTTGAAAGGTATGGGGTGAGCCAGGAGTAAGCCCGGAGGGCAACAGGAGAACAAGGCAGCAGGCAAGCACAGGAAAAGCATCCAGTGCATGAATCGTGTCTCCATTCCAAAGCGCCACACCTGCCTCTCTTCTGCCAGGGGACCCTGCCCAGCCTTCACATTACCAGGCACAGGTATTTAATCCGAAGATTTGAATTCTGGCTCCTGCTAGCATGGCTCTTTGATCAATTAACGGATATTGGCTGAGCATCAGTGACGTGGTGGTCCCCTGGATGCTGGACTAGAGTGATAAATGATTCAGACAAAGCTGCTCTCCTCATGGAATTTGCATTGCAGTGGGAGACAATAAAGAAACGCAATGCTATCCCAACAAGGTAAGTATAGATTGTGACAAATGCTGTAAAAGAAAGAGAGTTGATATGGTAACTGACGCTTACCCAGTCAGACAGAGGCCTACTTTACATGGAGTGATCAGGGATGGCCTACCCAAGGAGGTGACATGTGAGCTGATACCTAAAATGTGAAAAGAACCCAGCCACATGATGAGCAGGAGGAGCAGGCCAGGTAGAAGGAACATAGTGTGCAAAGGCGCTGAGCCAGGAATGGTCTCAGTGCAATGGTCTCCAAATGGGCTGCAACGCCTCCTTGTAGCACCTACCTCATGGGGCTGTTGTGTAGATCACAGGAGATGAAGCAATGTCTGCAGAATGTGCCTGGCATCGAGTCAGCACTCAAGAAATGTGGACTGCTACTATGATTTTCAAAGACTTGGGTTCATTTTGGGAGTATTGGGTGGGATGGGAGTATTAAGTCACCATCTTGGAGACATTCTGGGCCAGCTTGCCTGAGTCCCCATGATATCAGGTCACCAAAAGCATCTGAGAGCGATTATAAAGAAATTACTTTCCCAGCAATTAATCATCAGTATAAGACTGCCAATACACATCATTGCTGCATTATGACACATTGCATCACATGATGAGAATATAGAGTAGAAAAGGGGCCATCTGGAGCTGACCTTATTTAAGTCAAATCAATTGAAAGTCAGTGGGAGTTTTGCCTGAGTAAGGGTCAAGACCAATTATCGAAAGGCATAAGAGAACACGGGGGTGCTTTTGAGGGTATTAGATCTTATAGTAATTTTTCACAGTTCAGGGATACATTGAGGTAGCACTTCTATAATACAGGAAATACGCTGTTCATAAAGTCCCTTATTTCAATAGAGTCTATATGCATCTTTTAAATTTTCTTGGACAGATGCAAGAATACAGTAAAAAGTACAAAATGGTTAAGATATGTATCTAGCCCTGGACAGACTGCTCAGTTGGTTTGAACATTATCCTGTGCACCAAAGGGTTTCAGGTTCAATTTCCGGTCAGGGCACATACCTAGGTTTCAGGTTTGATCCCCAGTTGGAGCATATGTGGGAGGCAACCGATTGATCTCTCTTTCCTCTCTCTCTCTCTCTCTCTCTCTCTCTCTAAAAATCAATAAAAACATATCCTCGGGTGAGGATTAAAAAATATACATGATAAAAAGTACAAAGTGGTTAAGATATGTATCTAGCCCCGGACAGACTAATCAGTTGGTTTGAACATCATCCTGTGCACCAAAGGGTTTCAGGTTCAATTTCCAGTCAGGGCACATACCTAGGTTTCAGGTTTGATCCCCAGTTGGAGCATATGTGGGAGGCAACCGATTGATCTCTCTTTCCTCTCTCTCTCTCTCTCTCTCTCTCTCTCTAAAAATCAATAAAAACATATCCTCGGGTGAGGATTAAAAAATATACATGTAACTAAAATTAAAGTGGGATAATAGGAAGACAAAAACTTCTCATCAACTATCAGTTATGCTATTAACTCGGATTATCTGTTCCTCTACAGTAGATATAACCGGTGGATATTGGAATGGTCCACAGCTTAGTTTTAGCCATCAGATTTCTTCTCCATCTTGCGGGTCTATCTGCTTTAGAGAATTAATTGTATCATAATATTGCTGGTGGATATTGGAATGTCCGAAGCTTAGTTATAGCCATCAGATTTCTCCTCCATCTTGCAAGTCTATCTGCTTTAGAGAATTAATTGTATCATAATATTGGCTTAAGTTTTAATTCAGATTATGAATCTAAAAAGAGAGCTATTTGGTATTTTATTTCAGAGCCAGCATTAGCTACGGATTGTTTTTCTGTGGGTCTACTCCATTCAAGTCCTCTCAAAATGTCAATAAGCAACTAGAGCAAAAGGCCCTAGGTCCACTGGTGGTCTTCCACTGGCACGAGCTACTGAATCTTCTCCTCAGGAATCTCCATGCCTGCTCTGCACCTGATGGCTCATCGTCACTGAGATTCTCAATGGCCCCAACAGAACCATTTGAATTTTGAAACGTCTTGGTCAAAAGACTTCAATGTCATAAATATTTCACATGTCTAACTTGATAACTATATTCCCAATTTGATGAGAGGACAAAAAGCAAAAAATGCTCAGCAGACTGTAAATAATTTGGAAGCAGAAATCATCTTTTATTCTCCATGCCCTTCATGTCCTGCACTTATGAAGTCTCCAATGAATAAGTGCCCTGTAATTGGTAAATTACCAAGGAGTTGAATTGCTTTGTCTAGACAGACAGGATTGATTTGGGCTGTAAGCTGACAACGTTACACTTCAGATTCTATACACAAGTGGTAATAATATTTCCTGCCCTTGAATCTTGGTACATAATCTACCATAGGTCTTAAACTGGTCAAAGGGAATCAGCAGAAACTTTGCAGTAAGAGATTCTTGAAATGTGAACAAATACAAAGTTGGGGGGGAGGCATGTTTTGCGCAATGAGCTCCTGGTTTTAATCAGGTTAGCGAAGGGGTTTGCTGGCTCAGTGGTACAGATGGTCTTCAGGGAGGCCATGTGAAATACTGCCTTCCAGGCAACCTGCTGGAGGGTGTGGGGGCAGGGAAGGGCAGGAAGAATAATTCATCTACTGACTTCCATACGTCAATGGCCTAAGTTTTATGTCCACTTGGAGGATGTCCTTGGATGACATTAACATTGAAATTAGTGACAGCCTGCTGGCCTTCACACTAGAACTGCACCATCAGCTCTCCTGGGTCTTGAGCCATCTAGGGTTGGCCCACACTGCAGATTTTGGACTCAGCCAACCTCCACAATCAGGTGGGTCAATTCATTACACACACTAACTAGTAAATCCCTATATTTCCAAGCTGCTTGTGCAGTGGTGCAGATTGGGGTTCTGAGTAGTCTCATGCATCAGTGCCCAAGGGTGGCTCATGGACAGGCATGAGTTATGTTGGGTTATGCCCATAAAAGACAGTCACCATGGCAACCTGGGGCAAATCAAGTGACCAAGGGCCCCGGGGTAGTTTAGGCAAAAGGATGTGAAGTGATGCCTAAGGAGCAAATGAATGTGGGATGGGAAATGCCAAGAGCAGGTTCTGATTCTAAAAGGGTGTGTTTACAAAGCCACCCACAGTGACCTATGAATACAGTGAGGAAAGGTGTGTTTACATTACAGTGGGGTAAATTTTCAAATAACAAGGCAACATATACTCAAAGAGTATCTATGTTTTAATGTCATTAGATGCATGATTTTGCAACAGTTATTTAGCTTCTTAATTCTTGATTCACTGATTTTTAAAATGAGAGCATTGGGTTGATGATGTCTAAGCTTTCTCTCAGCTCTAAAATTCTGATCTTTTCTATAATGTGGACAAAGAATAGAAATTTAAAGATTACACAGCTCTCTTACATTAAATGTCAGAATCAGAATTTTCAAATATTTCATTATAAGAAAATAATGCACCAAAATCAGTATGATGATATTGAGCATAACTAAATGTCAAGTCTGAGATTTGGGTCCAAATAATCAAGTCTATAAACACAGATGAGGGGAGATTTGACTTGAGAGTCATTTGTATTAAACAACAACAGCAGTGTAGAGATTGCAGGGGGGAGGAGGGTTGAAGATAGAAGAGGGTATGGGGAGATAAATGGTGATAAGAAAAAAATTAAATTTAATTTAAAAAAATAAATAAATAAATAAAACAGCATCCAACCCTGGGATTTCTGTTGACCCCAAAATCTAATGAATCAACTGCTGGATACGCATGTTCTTACTGGAGTTCCTTCACTCAGTGAGAGGTTGGCTAAGATGGGCTGGATGGACTCTGAGGGTCCTTCTGAAGATTCCAAGCTTCATTCATATCTATCTCTTTCCTTTACCCTTTGCCTCAGTACAATGAGATTGTGGCCCAGGGCACAATCGCCTCAAGGTCAAGTGCTCCGGTAGGATTTCAATGGGATTGCTGAGTGGCACAAGGTCACTCAGAGAGCCTCTCAGCTTTTCCTTCTCCTCACCCTCCCGGGGCAATTGTTCTGGATTGTGGCTCCCCTGCCTCATGTACAAAGTCACCTAAACACAAAGCTCACAGCCAGCCCGCAGTTTGGGGAATCCTCCCTCAGCAATTCAAGAGTTAGAGGCATTAAAGGTGGCCCCTGGAGTGCTCCGCCACTCTGCTGACTGGAACCAAATCTATCTGAGACTTGGAAATATGATCCAGGTGGGGACGGGCTATGATTTAATGTGGTCCAAGTACAACAGGCCACACTTCTTAAAGAAACCGTTATAAATTATTTGTGCCTAATTCTGCCGGTGGATGGAGGACATGGTATAGTCTCAAGTACAAGAGCCCAGCTTGTATCTAATAATTGTTATATCTTCTCTGAAACTGACTGCCGATGTCTCAATTTTAACAATTTAAATAACAAGCTTAACCAAGTGGAACGAGGCTCAGGCAGGCTGGCACTCTTGATGAAAGCAGGACAACTCTCATGTCTGAGCGCATTTTTACTTTGACATGAGCGGTGACACGCAGAGATGAAATCTGGTTAAAGCGGCAGCCTCCTCAACCCCGTGACAGCTTCTTAGGCTCAGCAAAACAATTTCCAGCAACTGCACACACACTTGTTAACTTTACTCCAGAAGACTGATTAGAAACAACGCTTATGAATATGATAAAAAGAGGTGAGCGCTGGAAAGGTAAGCCCGTAGAGCTGGGCAATTGGCATGTTGTTTTCTTCATTTTTAATGGGCCGCTCTATAATAGTCTTAATTTTGGGGTGCATCTAGTTTGCTTAGAAACTAGACGGATCTCTTCCGTGCCCCAGGTATTAATGATGACAGCACATTTTTATTTCACCTGCTGTTGAATTGCTGTTGATACTGTGAGTGGTCAGATATGATTTCCTGTAGATTGCTCTCATTATCCTTTTGATGCTCTTCATTCCACGTCCTGAAAATTTTTCCCATTTCAAAAGCTGTTCCGTGCTCAAAGTTATGTAACACATGCAAAGCGAGGCCAATTTTGAAAGATGTTTGTGTCCTTGGGCGGCCATGACACAAGGTCGTGCTGGGAAGTCACAACATGACTTGTAGAATTTCTCCCAAATTGCAAAGTCTTGTAGAAGAGTGAGGAAACTAGCCTGTGAGATAAAAGATGCTGGAAAAGCCACTTAATCTTTCTGGATCCCGGTTTCTTCTTTAGTAAAGCAAAGAACTGGGTTATGATATCAAGTTCCTCCAATGTCCTATGATCTTATGCTCCTAGTCTAAGGGCAACTAAAATTAACTCAAATTCACTTGCATTATTTTAAGCTAAATATCAAAAGTCTTAATAGCCACTTTGTCAAATAGTTTGCCAGTCTCTTAAAAAGTTAAGCATACACCTACCTACCTTATGATCCAGCCAATACACTTCTAGCTATCAGCCCAAGATAAATGAAACCTGAAATCTATATAAAATCTTGGACACAAATGTTCACAGTATCTTTATTTGTAATAGCCCCAAACTAAAACAACCCTAATATCCATCAGCAGGTGAATGGATAAACTGTACTCTACTCACACGACAGAATATTACTCAGCAATAAAAAGAAATGGGCTCTGTTGTTACCTATCCTTTCCTGAGGAAGAGAGACGTGAACTGAGTTTTCTAGAATAGCCTCCAGTTAGTGTCCTCATGGGATTGCCATTCAGGCATGTCCTGGGTCAATCTCCTCACACTGACCTAACCAAAGCCACATAGGCCTCCCTCGATTACAAATCTAAAGTCACAATAAACTGTAAGCATTCAACTCTCCAAAGCTTTGAACACCAGAAAATATAGTGCAATATAATAGTGCTACTCATAATATAATGACATGATTTGTTTGAAGACATTAATCTGCAAGGCTCTATCAGTAGCTTTGTCCTATATAGGAAATGATTATGTGAAAATTTTTCCTCCATGGTTAGGTAGTCTCTTTGGAAGGGAACGTCAAAAGTCTAGGCTGAGGCCCTTCTTGAATGTCAGGCTGGTTCCCACATTTCTTAACACCCACCTTGCCCCAGTGTTAGGTCAGATGCAAGTTCCGGCTATCATTACAGACTCAGTCCCTGTGGTGAGCCCCACATTTGAAAGGGCGGGGATCCCAAAGGAAATCTGGGACACTTCACCATAAACGCAGCCAAGCAGCATGGAAGCTTTCCTGTAAAGTTGCACATGTACACGCACACACGCACACACGCACATGCACGTGCACACACACAGTCATCCACCAATTCAGAATTTTTGCAATCAGAAAAATAGAAGTTTCTGTAAATTAATGGTTTGTCCACTTGTGGTTATTATAGCAAGTGCCCCAGACACCATCAGAAGCCATCCAAGATCTAACAATAGTCTTCGTATGTGTTGCTTTTAGGAATTCCGGCCAGCTCATCCACCAGGGATCTCACTGACCCTGGGTACTGTGTCTTCTGTGAAAACATCTCACCCAAACAGAGACTCCTCTGACTGAAGGGGTTCAGCCCAGCATCATCTGGCTGAGTGTGACCTGGGTCTCTGCCACCTGTGTCACTGACCACCTTCTCTCTGCGCCGTGTGCTTCCACATGCCTCGCTCCAGCCCCTCCCTCCAGGAAGTAGGACAGAAATAAAACATTAAAAAGCACACACTGGATCCTGCTGGGCAAGCACTGGGCCACCCAGGGCACTGCATTCAGGAACCGAGGCTCAGGGTGGCCAGTGAGAACCTTGAAGTCAGAAGTAGGTTGCAGATGCTCAGATCCTGAGGCATGCTGGGAACTACGTCAGGGATTCTCCAAAATGTTTGTATACCAAGCCATGGTAAGAGATACAGTTTATATTGTGATCCAGTACACAGATACCCACACGTGGACACAGATATAACCATCTAACTGAACACTGCCCACTGCAGAACAGCTATTTTAAACTATATTTTGAATGAACAAAGCAAAAGCAACCCTTAGTGAAATAATACTATCCCCAGGTGCAATGCACTCTGATATCTTCCATCCTGTTCTATCTTTTCCATGTCTTTAAAAGGGTAGCAAGTTGCAAACCCATAGGTGATGTCAGTACCACTAAAAGGGAGCCCTGATGTGAGAGTTTACACCCTGCCTGCCCCTCACTGAGATGACTGACACCTGTCACTTAGGAAGCAGGGGCTTGGGGACATGGCAGGCTAGCAGGCCGGCTCTGGGCTGTAACGGGAAGATTGGTGAGCGAGCCATGGCATCACAGAGCAGCAGGGGAGCCGTGTTCTTGGCCAAGCGCAAGGGCACTGCTCTCCGGGTGCAGACCTATGCCCTGTCTCCATGTTCCAGTCCACACACTCCCCCTGTCCCCTCATTGGAAACCATTCCTCAAGCCCAGGAAGATTTTGCAAGTGGAGTCAGAAGTCAGACCGGCGATTGTTTCGCTTGCGTATCATTTGAAGGATCGAGAATGGGGGGAAGGGGGGTTGTGTAAGCTGCTGTGAAAATCATGGGGTAACTTGGCAAATGAGAAATCCACTCAGACCCGCAAGGAGCACAAAAGTGAGGAATTAAACAACTTTATAAATAAAGGATCATGACTCTTGATGCACTAACACACACTTTAGAGCTACTGAAAACCTCCCATTTCAAGATAAATGAAGAGCATTTCCTGAGCTGGACGGGCTACTCTCACAGCCACATGCTGGGGGTCTGAGCTCTGGGTCAGCCAGGGCTGGGTCGGTGTCAGGGACCCAGGAGGGGCCGGTCCCTGCATTTCTATGAAGAAGGTTGTTCCCGGAGCCCCGTTTTTCACTAAAGGGATGTGCTCGGTTTGTACCTGATGAAGTCGGGAAGAAAGTTCTACGCCAGTGCGTTTGCCTCCTCCAAGTTTCATCATCACTCACCAAATAAGCATAATTGCTGCGCGTTGAAGAGGTGCCAGGAACAGAGGCGCTGCCGGTAATTGCCTAATGGGCAGGCGAAATGAGGTGTGCGGCACATCGGTGTGAAGAAAGCCATCGCCACAAGTTTATTAACATTGAAAATTAAAGGAAGCCCGGCCCCAGCCAGGCAGCCCTCGCTGAAATGAATCCCATTATCCCTCTGATAACGGCATGGGGCTCAATTGGATGCCACCCAGGGGGCAGAGAGGCCTGAATGCAGGGCACCTCTGCCGGCTTGGGAGCTGAAGTTCCTCTGGTTCACGGATGCTGATCGCAGAGGAAACACAAACACCCTGCCTGCCTGCAGCTCCTCCAGCTCCACTGAACTCCACGGCCTTTGTGGAGCAGTGACAAGGGGGAGGCCGAGACAACTGTATACCTTCTGACCTGGTGCCACTTTTACCATTGCTGGATGGAGTTTGCCAAGGTGTGTTATAGGTGCTGGAACTAAGTACTACCAGGTCCATTGGAAGGAAGCGGGGGTCCAGCCTGGGGCTCAGGAACCAACCCTGCCTTCTTTTTCCACCTGGATCATTTTGCTAAATATTGGAGGCCGGATGCACACTGCGGCCGGGGGCCTCTGCCACCTCTGCCTCGGCCCCCTGCCCACCGTGGCTTTGTCCGGAAGGAAGGACATCCGGTCTAATTAGCATATTATGATTTTATTATTATAGATTTCTAGATGTCCAGGGCTAGAAGGAGAGCTTTTCTGAACCTCAATCACATCCCATCTATGCAGGAAACAAGGCTGTCCCCGGTAAAATAATCAGAAAACATCCAGTGTGTGCTGCAGCGGACAGCCTGAGGAAAATGCAGAGAAAGGAGAACTCCAGGAGGGCACGCTGCTTAGGTAAAGGAAAGGCAGAGGGAACCACATGGACAAAAACTCACGGACAGGAGGCTCTTGGAGGGAGGAGACCCACTGGGCAGATGGCAGGCTTTGAGCTGGGAACTAGTACACAGCAAGCTTGGGTGGATAGAGAGAATGGCACAGGGTGGAGTCTGGGCTTAATGTTGGATTGAAAGGGAATCCTTTTAGATTTCAGAAAATTACAGGAATCATAGGATTAAAGCATTTAAATCATTCTACATTGAATTTGCTTCACGTTTAGAAAAGGTTTGAATTTTGTATTTTCTTTCTGCCCTCCGTCTCTGCGAGTGGCCTTCGTGCCCCTGGAGGCCACCCTTCCACCTGCTCCAGGTCCCCTCCCTCCCCTCTTCCAGGACACTCCTCACAGCTTCTTCCCTCCTGCTCCCACCAGCATGCAGGCCTGCAGCATTTCCATCATAGGAGGGAGGGAGGGAAAGAGGGAGGTAAAGAAGAGGAGAAGAAAAGAAGGAAGAAGGAAAACAAATTCTTTCTTGACCTCACATTTCCGTTTCTGTCCCATTTCTCTGCTCTGCCTAGCAGGACAATTCCTCCAAAGAGCTGGCACACTGCACACCTCTCCTCCCATTCTCTCTTGAACCTGCTCCAATCAGGCTTGACCTGCCGCATGTCAAGGTCACCACTGACCTCTGTGCAATGGCCAATCCTCTATTCTCATCTTATTTGAACTCTCAACAGCTTTCCTCGCTTAGCTCCCAAGACACAACTCCTTCTCGGCCCCCAGCTAGCTTCTTCCCACCTCTAAAAATGATAGCACCCCAGGGCTCAGTCCTTGGACCTCTTCTCTCTAAATTACCCCAAGTTTATGTCATCTAGTTTCTTGGCTGAAAACACCATCTACATGCTAACAAGCCCCTAATTTATATCCCAGTCTGGACCACTTCAGACTCCAGAGAGATCTCTACTTGGACAAGCAACAACCATCTCAAATTTAATATTTCCAAAAGTGAACTTCTGGTTCCTGCCCCACCTCCCACGCCCACATGACACACACATGCATCAAAAACTCCTCCTCCAGCAGCCTCTCAGTTAAGGTCAACTCCCTCCTATCCTTTGCTCAAGACCAAAACCTTAGTCATCCTTGACCCCTTGTGTATCCCATATGCCAATCCATCAGCAAATCCAATTTGACTGTTTTCAAACTATATCTAGACTCTGACCATTTCTCACCACCTCCACTGCCTTCTTCCTGCTCCAAACCACCATCCTATAGAAAACACAGTTACACTGGTCCCCCAGTTCTCTGCTTCTGTGCGGCTTCTCTCCATTCAGCTTATCACCATCTGCTAAACCACATTTCACTTGCTATTTATTCATTGTATCTACATTAGAATATAAGCTCATTTGGGGCAAGGTCTATGTTGTGGTCATTCCTGTGTCGGCACCTATGGTGTAGTAGGAGCCCAAAAGTACTTGAGGGAACAAGATTTATTTGAACCCATCTTTCAAGCACCTGCTTTTTACAAGAAAGACACAAAAACTATCTCTGCTCCAGCCATCCCTTGCCAGGTGGCTCAACATCCAGGGCCTTGAAAACTCCCATGGATGCCTGACCCCTTGTGTATCCCATATGCCAATCCATCAGCAAATCCAATTTGACTGTTTTCAAACTATATCTAGACTCTGACCATTTCTCACCACCTCCACTGCCTTCTTCCTGCTCCAAACCACCATCCCTCGCCTGGATAACTGCACAGCCTCCTAATGGCTCTCCTTGACTCCACCACCCATGTCCCAAAATGGGCCATGCCCAACACAGCAGCCAGGGTGACCCTTTTAAAGTAAAACTCAAATCATGTCACTTCTCTGCTCACAACCTTCTAATGATCTCCCACATCACTCAGAATAAAATCTGACATTTTTTCAGTGGTCTAAAAGTCCTGTACTCTCTGGCTCCAACTACTTCCCTATCTGTCCTCCACTCCTCTCCCCTCACTCAACCACACTGGCCCCTCGCTATTTCTCAAACACACACACACACACACACACACACACACACACACGCCTGCCTCATGACCTTTGTATTACTGCTCCTCTGGCTGAAATGGATTTCTCCCAGATAGTCACATGGCTCCCTCCTTCAGTTCCAGCGCATGTCACCTTGGGAGTGAAGCCTTCCCTGACCACCCTATAGAAAATACAGTTACACTGGTCCCCCAGTTCTCTGCTTCTGCACAGCTTCTCTCCATTCAGCTTATCGCCATCTGCTAAACCACATTTCACTTGCTATTTATTCATTGTATCTACATTAGAATATAAGCTCATTTGGGGCAAGGTCTATGTTGTGGTCATTCCTGTGTCAGCACCTATGGTGTAGTAGGAGCCCAAAAGTACTTGAGGGAACAAGATTTCCATGATGTTGGCTTCAGTAGGCCACCATCCCCTCTGCCTCTAAAGTTAAAACTCTAAAATAAATTTTTAAAATACTACGGGAGTGGGAGAAGAGGTTCAATGAGGGGGGGAAAGAGGGACATCTGTAATACTTTCAATAATAAATATAAATTTTTAAAAAACACAAAGCAAACCCTAACTGACTGTGATACCTTGGGTAAGTCACAATCTACACTAATAGCTTAACTAAAGTTCTGTGATTCCTGCTCTGCAAACAAGACTTTGACACACAGGTCATGGACGTCTTCAAAAGTTAAATAAATAATGGGCTCTATGCTCCAAACTCAACATAGCTGATAGATTCCATTCTCCCAAAGTATATTTGATTGTGGTTGTTCCCAGGTTCCTGCAAACTTACTATATCTATGAGCGCAGAATTTGGCAAAGTTGGTCCAGCATGAGTTACGTGCCTTTTGTTGGACAAATTGTTTTCCTGATGTTTACTTTCAACAACAGACTTTATCAAAAATGAATGAGTGCCAGAAGCTGTGTAGCTTTGATGATGAATGAGTCTGGAAATGAGGGCAGATACTTCTGAAGACATAGCATCTCTCCCACTTTCAATGGTCCTTTCCTTTGGACACTCCCATGACAAATATTCATTGCAATTTCTTCCAAATCTGATGTTGACAATACTAATTAAACTCCTGAGATTTCATTTTCCCTTCTGGGCCATGATTCATATCTGGCCAGAAAAGCATAGCGGGATGAATCTGTGGTTGTCTTCAGGGTAACTACAGGGCAAGAGAAAGCTTGTTAAAGCTCTCGTTCCTCCGTGAATTCAGGCTTTCTTCTGGGGGAAATTGGTAGGTCCATTTCTCTCCTCAACATGGCCACATACACACTTGCCACAGAAATAGGGGGCATGAAACCCATTAGGGTCGAAGTAGCGGGTGTGGCCATCACCTCTACTCAAGGGGTCTCCATCAGTTGTCCTGAATCTCAGTTTTCTTAAAAATAGAATGGGGAAAATAAAGCTAACATCTAGAAGTATCGTGGGACCCTATGAAATGAAGAATGCATAATGGCTGGCATACAGTACTTGCTCACTAAATGTTGATTTCCTTTCTCATCCCACCAGAAGGTGAGTTTAGAATTACTCCAAAATCACTATTTCTAACCCAGTATTTGACCATGGCCTTCCAGAGATGCCTGGCCAGGGCTCAGCTGTGATGGAGACCATCATGGGCTTATAAACTGTTCAGGCCATTCTCTCCCTTCTCCTTTTCCCCTCCCCCTCCTCCTTCAACAAGCCCACTGAGGGACAGGCTGCCCTTGGCATCCCTCTTGCAGTCCTTCCCTGTCCTGCAAGGGTGGTGAACTGAATTCCGAAAAATGACAAGTCATTACAAACATATTGCATGTTGTAAATGAAAGAATGTCCTTGTTAGAAAGCCAAATGACTTACTTTGGGAGTAACTTTAAATGTTAAGGATAGGATATTGCAAATGCAGAGTGTAATATCCTATACCTAACACTTTGGTAAAACACTTTAAATATACATGTGGTGCTCTAATAGCAACCCACATGGACATTGGCATGAGTTTTTTAACTGGAATGCTCTCTGACATTAACTCTCCATTACTAAGCTCTCTATTGATTTGGGTTCATCTCTAAAAGTTCAGACTTGGAGAATACTTAGGCCAGGTCTCCTCTGAGGAGGGTGGCATGAAGAGTTGGTAATTATCCAATGAATTCCGGTAATTATGCAATGAATTACAAATTGTCTATACCAGTGCTTCCTGGAATGTTTAATTCAGTACCATACCAGTGAACTTTCTAGGACACCTTTGTGGGAGTAGGTTGGGAAGGTTGTTGCCCAGTGGGAGGGCCTTGTCCAGGTACCACTGCCCTTGTACTTGCTTATCTACATCTCCTCACCCCAATACGTTCTTATAAACACATGTAATTTCCATGACGTTGGCTTCAGTAGGCCACCATCCCCTTCTGCCTCTAAAGTTAAAACGCTAAAATAAATTTTTAAAATACTAAGGGAGTGGGAGAAGAGGTTCAATGAGGGGGGGGGGGGGGGGGGACATCTGTAATACTTTCAATAATAAAGATAAATTTTTAAAAAATACAAAGCAAACCCTAACTGGCTGTGATACCTTGGGTAAGTCACAATCTACACTGATAGCTTAACTAAAGTTCTGTGATTCCTGCTCTGCAAACAAGAGTTTGACACACAGGTCACGGACGTCTTCAAAAGTTAAATAAATAATAGGCTCTACGCTCCAAACTCAACATAGCTGATTCTCCCAAAGTATATTTGATTGTGGTTGTTCCCAGGTTCCTGCAAACTTACTATATCTATGAGCGCACAATTTGGCAAAGTTGGTCCAGCATGAGTTACGTGCCTTTTGTTGGACAAATTGTTTTCCTGATGTTTACTTTCAACAACAGACTTTATCAAAAATGAATGAGTGCCAGAAGCTGTGTAGCTTTGATGATGAATGAGTCTGGAAATGAGGGCAGATACTTCTGAAGACATAGCATCTCTCCCACTTTCAATGGTCCTTTCCTTTGGACACTCCCATGACAAATATTCATTGCAATTTCTTCCAAATCTGATGATGACAATACTAATTAAACTCCTGAGATTTCATTTTCCCTTCTGGGCCATGATTCATATCTGGCCAGAAAAACATAGCGGGATGAATCTGTGGTTGTCTTCAGGGTAACTACAGGGCAAAAGAAAGCTTGTTAAAGCTCTCGTTCCTCCGTGAATTCAGGCTTTCTTCTGGGGGAAATTGGTAGGTCCATTTCTCTCCTCAACATGGCCACATACACACTTGCCACAGAAATAGGGGGCATGAAACCCATTAGGGTCGAAGTAGCGGGTGTGGCCATCACCTCTACTCAAGGGGTCTCCATCAGTCAGTCAGAAAACTAGCTGGTCTCCCTCAAAAATGTCATCATTGTCTTCAAGACCATTTCAGGTCTTCAACCAAGACCATGTAGCACTCATGCTGTTGGTATTGAGGCATGTTGGGGCAGGGAGGGTGAGAGTACTTACTCAAGAAATGTTAATTCAACATCTTCTATGACCAGTCCTGTGCTAGAACATTGAATACAGCAGTTAAGGAGGTAGAGATTGCTGCTGTCCTCACAGATATTGCTTTTTGATTTAAAAAAAAAAAAAGCCCTAGGATTGTGGTTAGAAGGTCAGCATTTGACTCCAAGATCCTCCATTTACCTTTTTGAACCTCTGTTTACCTTAAACAGAATGAAGATGATAGCCCTGTCTGTCTTCTTACCTATCTACTCATAGCATTCGAAAAATATGTTGACATGCTTTGTAAAATATAGAGCACTATGGAAAGATTAGGTATGTAAAAAAAAGCCCTAGGATTGTGGTTAGAAGGCCAGCATTTGACTCCAAGATCCTCCATTTACCTTTTTGAACCTCTGTTTACCTTAAACAGAATGAAGATGATAGCCCTGTCTATCTTCTTACCTATCTACTCATAGCATTCGAAAAATATGTTGACATGCTTTGTAAAATATAGAGCACTATGGAAAGATTAGGTATGAATAATATAGAAATGTATGATGCTTTCTCTCATATTTAAAAGAATTAAAAGCAGGGATTGAACAGATATTTGTACATCCGTATTTATAGCTGCATTATTCACAAGTCAAAAGGTAGAAACAACCCAAATGTCCATCAGGAGATGAAAGGTTTAACAAAATGTGGTATATACATGACTCTTATTCAGCTTTTAAAGGAAGGAAATTCTCGGATGCTCACCTTCAGTTGTTTCCATGCTCGGATCTCTCAGGTGTGCATCTGTGCTGAGCAGGGATTTCTTTGTTGAATTATAGATGGTAAACTTGTTGAAATGTCAGGGGGAAAGGAAAAGATTTGTCCTTACGCTGCCATTCCTCTGATGTCACTGTCAAGGAAATTCAAATACTAGCTACAACATGGATGAAACTTGAAGACATTATGCTACATGAAACACATAAAACACAAAAGGACAAATATTATGTGATTCCACTTACCCACAGTACCTAAAGCAGTCAAATTCACAGAGACAGAAAGTAGAACAGTGGTTACCAGAAGATGTAGGGGGGTGGAATGGGGTGTATTGTTTAATAGGTACCAAGTTTCGGATTGGGATAATGAAAAAGTTCTGGAGATGGATAGTGATGATGTAAATGCACTTAAAAATAGTTAAAATGTTTGTTTAATGCTTCCAGGAATGCAGCTGTGTCCAGGTAAGTGCCAAGGTGAAGTGCAAGCAGCTTTTCCTGGAGGAGGCTTCTTAGCATGGCATCAGCTTAGTGAATTCTCACTGCCCCAGGTCTTCAGCTTGAAGGCTCAAGACCCTGCCTTTGTCAGCACAGAGAGGACTGGCCCAACTCGTTTTGGACACACACCAGGAATATAATATTCTATGTGTAAAATCAAAACACATCATTAGCAATTTTAGTGAGAAATCACTGTCAGGGATAATCTAAGTCAATGTCATCACTGTGTCTGCTTTCTGTTGGCAAATGTTCACAGGAAGCAACAATCTGAAGGCTATTTGATGAACACTGAATCAAGACAAAAAAACTAAATGTGTACGTGGCACCATGATAGGATAGAATGTTCTTATCAAAGGAAACTGCATCCTTGAAGTCGGTCACACACACCTAATGGCTATGGCTTCCATCACCGCATTAGAGACACCACTGCCAAAAGCTTCAGAAATTACCTGTCGATTGACTTCCACTCTCTCTGTTTTTGTCCTGCTTCCATGGCTGAGAAATCTTCCCCCTTTCTGATCAAATCATTTTTTGTTTAGATTGTCTAATAAAATGTTCAAACAGGTTGTATTTGAGTTGTGTAGGCTTGTGGGACTATTTCAGTTCCTTCAGATGACTTCTAGTACCTCCACTCTGATGTATTTGTGTTGAAGGTTTAAATCTCAGAGAAAAATGACAGCCCCTCCTATGGAGCTCTTAGGGACACCTACTGGAGCCCCCACGTACTTACAACAACTAGTATCACCCATCTTTTCCAGTTATCTCAGCATATGGCTGACTAGGGAGAAGGTAAAAGATCTCTTTTGTGTACAGTTGAGCTGGGAACGCAAAAGGTGACTGATGCAGAGATAATGATCTCGCTGGAGAGGCTGGGCCTCCCTCTCTCAGTTCTCCTTCAGCTCTGTGTGCCAGTAATTGCCTGATGTCCATGACAAATGACAGGTAAATCCCAGACTGAGCTCAAAATGGACTTTAACTATTTCTCTTCCTGACAGGCTCTGTGCAAAGAGGCAAAGGATTGCTTGCATTGAGGATATCTCCACTTGAATCTACCTGGTGGAGGTCAGGAACAAGGGTCCAGTGTGAATTTGACCTTAAGCAGACCAGATCTGCAAGTAAACAAAAGGAACGGTGGTTTCAAACCTGGTCACTTTCTTAATCCTCTATAAGCACACACATTAATCACTGCAAATTCTTATCCCAAAGTGGAATTCTCCGGAAGAAATCAATTTATGGAGGCAGATGTTTCTTCTCTTGCATGTATTCTGTTAAGCAAAATAAATTGCACAACTAGCAAGATTGATAGTAATATTAAGTTCATAATGACCCAAATCAATTCTGAGTGCGAGACCTGGAAAGGTCAGTTGGGGACAAATTTATGGCAAAGGCATGGATGGTTCTTGGGAGATGCAATACTATTCTGCTATGTGCTGCCTTTAGAAAACATGGACTTGGGAATTAGACCAACCTATGGTCAATTCCCAGCCCTTCTATCATGTCATTCTGGGTCATGGTTGGGCCATTCCCTAAGTCATAAATGGGATAATGAGATTTGATGGGCCAACTTTGGGATGCCCCAGCCCCCTTCAGCCATCAGAGAATGAGGACTTTGGCGATATGGGAGGTACCCAAGCTCCAGCAGTGCAGGCTGCACAGGCACTGACCAAAGGAGGTGGGTGGAGAGATTAGAGCTCTACTTGCTCCTCTTGTCTTTCCCCAACATCCCCTATAAAGGTTATAGATCCCCCAAGACCAAATCACCTCCATTTTAAGCTGCCCTCACATTTGGAACTCCCATAAAGAGCAATCAAGTGAGAAGTACCCTCAGATTCCCATTGCAGGTGTTCCACGATGCAGTGAGTCATGTGAATCTCCCCTTAGCCCAGCGGATTCTCTCCATCTGTGCTGGCCATTCAATCGAGACTGGTATTTTCTGATGTGCAGCTTTCCTGAAGAAAAATCAGTGTTTCCATCCACAACCAAAAATAGCCTCTTTTCACCCCAATTCATATCATCGCCCCATTTACGAATACATTTTGTGCATCCACCTTCAAGGCTGCTGTGCTTTCATCGAGCTTTTCCCTTTCGTTTTACACAATTTCCAGTTATTCCCTATTTTGTTCTCTTCAGAACACTGCTTGTCACATGTTTTCACCAGAAACATTCATCACCAAGGTCAAAGGGTGAATATTGTGATCTATTATGCTTAGAGGAATCTAATGAAAAGCCACATAATTATCCAATTTAAAGAGGAGCATGTAAAAAAGGGGGGGGGCACTTGCTATAATTTAAATTGTTTTGTTTCCCTGAAGCAAAATTCAGCACCTGATTGACAGGACCTAATGATAATTCTTATTGATATGGTGATGTTAATTGTGGAGAGATATTTAATAAGCCCCATATTCTGGAGGTAACTGCGTGCTCTTAACCTGCACCTGAACCTGATTTTTGATGCAGCGTGGGGATGAGGTACAGATACAGATAAGTGAGCACAAGTGGATTTTCAGTCTTGTGTGGCAGAATGGAAATTGGAATCTTCAGAATCTATTAGGAGAACAATTCCACAGTTGCTCACACTTTTATAAATTATACTGTATATTACAGAAAGACACAAAGTCAGGAGAGGTTCAAGAGAGGATATTGTCGTGACTTTGCTGAGTAGTTTTTAGGGTGCTACTTGGCGGTGGCATTGTGTTCCTGCTTTTAACCAAAGACACACACTGAAGAATGGATCTGTTTTCATTTTCAAACAAAATGGACTAAAGAAATCCATTTCCACTGTCACCCCTCGCCACCCCCAGGTAAGGCTGCCCTTCCAGAAAATGAGGCCAACTTTGAAACACAGGTAGATTCTTGGAAGAAAATGAATTCTTACACCATGAACGAAACCTTTTGAGAGGCTCATGGGCCTAAATTCCAAATGGAACCAACTTGAGGAACAACAAAATCTGTGCCATCCTGAGATCATGGACATAGCTGTTGGGGCTGTGGACCCAGCTGGGATCAGCAATGTCTTCTTTTTTTTTAATTTTTTGGGGAGACAAGACCATCATTTGAGAACTAATATTCATGTAGACATCTTTGGGCAAATAATAAAAAGTGAAAAAACTGAAGTTACTCTAACAACAAACAGACTTTAAAAAAATAATCAGAGTGGCTTACATTGGAGGGAAGGCAAGTTGTGGACTTGAGTTTAAATTATTTTTTTTAAACTCCAACTTCACTTAGTTGTGTTTTTTTCTTAGGAAAAAAAGAGTTTTAGATATGGTTAACCTTTTCATGTGATATCCTGATTGCTATAACTATTCTTGCCAAACTATATTTCACTTCAAAATAACCAAACCAAAGATTGTTACATGTAACCTGAATCACAAATGGGTCACTGTCACCAGAAACTAAGAGCTACCAATCTACAAATAAGAACGGGAGAGCCAACATGTAATGATTAAAAGGGTGTCCCAGCCCTGGCTGGTGTGGCTCAGTTGATTGAGCCTTGTCCCATGCACCTGGGTGGGGGGCTCAATGCCCAGTCGGGGAGGAGGGTGCGCAGAAGGCAGCTGATGGATGTTCCTCTCTCACATCAATGCATTCTCTCTCCCTCTCCATTACTTTCTCTAAAATCAATAAAAACATATATCTTTTAAAGTTCTTAAATAAAAAAAGTGTGTCCCAGAAAACAAGAGTAATCTTTAATGAACAAAATATTTAAAATATTCCAAGCATTCCAAGATAAGATTCCTCTGAACATGGCGTCTGGACTCTGGTATACAGTAGATGATCAGTAAATGAGCAAAGACCAAAAAATTATTTCTTTTTGCTTCCTGAATTTGCGTCATTGTTTTTGCTTTTAATGCACACATCTTGGAATATTCCAGATGGAAGTTATATTGACATCAAACCACGTATTCACCGTAATTGAAAAAAAAAAAAAGTCAAGTTGATTGGAGATGACCAAATTGATGGCGGGTTATGAGAGCAATGGCAGCTCAAACGACTACTATGATTTTCAACTTCTAAGGCCAACGCATTACATCATACACAGATTATAACTTCTCTGAACATTTCTGGTATCTCACTACCCGAAAGGCAATATGCTCACAAATTGAAGAGTTCAGAGAAAAGCAATAAAAATAATTAAGGAGGCCCACAGACTGACTGATGGAAAGAGCCCAAAAAAAATTAAATGTGGGCTGTGTGGCCCTATGATGACCCGGTGGTTCTAGGAATGAGATGCAGGATCTGGAGGGAGAAGATTCCCGTCTGCAGCAGGCATGGGTCCACACAGACTCACAATGAAATAATAAACAAGAGCCTGGCGCTGACCCAGGTCCAAAGCCTGGGCTATGCCTGCATGGGCAGCTGCCAACACCCGCCCTTGCACTTCTGTGCCTCTTAGTGTAGGACTGGGGTAGGCCCAGACCTAAGAGAGGCTGGGGATATTGCCAAGGTCCCCCTATTTCTACTCTGGTACTTACCTAACTGTACACACATCCTATTCCTGGCTCCTTGGAATGGCCTGTACCTCAAAAGGCAGAAACTAAGGGCTGGTTAACATTATGCTTAGGAGTCTGGATTCAAATCCCAGCTCCAATGCCTTCAAGCTGAGGGGCCTTGGGAAAGTTACTCAACCTCTCTGAGTGGCTTTTTCTTCACTTGTAAAATGGAAGTAGTGCCCTACTCCTAGGGCTGCTGAACGAAATTGTTCACATAAAGCACTTTTCAGAGGGCCTGGCCTACAGGAAGCACTGAATGCACAGCAGCTATTGTTCTTGTTTATTATATTAGCGGCAAGATCAGGGAAAACCCTAACCCTCCTAAAAGGGGTTCCAGGCCCTAAAACATTCACCTGTGTTTGCCTGGCCTGAGGGACTAAACCAGAGTCTGAGCAAATTTCACAAAACTTTTATTATTGCTCT